AAGTGAAGCAATTTCGGTTATCCAACTGTTACTAAAATATCAATCAGTATTCAGTAAAATTGATAGCGATCTAGGCAGAACGAATCTGGTGGAACACAGGATAGATACAGGTGATGCTAAGCCTATAAAACAAAAACCTAGAAGGTTTCCTTTTTTGGAAAGGAAAGAAGCTCAGAGACAAATAGATAATATGCTGAAATCTGGTGTAATAAAACCTAGTCAGTCCCCGTGGGCAAGAAATGTTGTTTTAGTCAAAAAAACAAATGGCGTCTATATATTGACTATAGAATTCTCAATGCTGTGACCGTAAAGGACTCGTATCCTATTCCTAGAATAGATGCTACCCTTGAACAAATGGGTAATAGTCGGGTTTATTGCACCATGGATTTGGCTAGCTCTTATCATCAAATCCCTATGGATGGAGAGTCTAAAGCAAAAACTGCTTTTGTTACTGAGGCTGGATTGTATAAATACGAAGTCATGAGTTTCGGCCTTTGTAATGCGGGCGGTACAATGGAGAGACTGCTTGAAAATGTATTGAGGGGGTTATCTCCAGATATATGTTTATTGTATATCGATGACATAATAACTTGGGGGTCAACTATTGAGGAAATGAACGAACGACTTAGCAAGATTTTTGACTGATTGTTGGCCGCAAACCTGAAGATCAATATCAAGCCAGCTAAAACATATTTGTATCAGAGAAAAGTAAATTTCCTGGGTCATGAAATATCTGGGGAGGGGGTGAAGATGGACCCTTCTAAAATTGAGGCAATTGTCAACTTGCCTAGATTAAGGTCTGTGAGAGAGGTACAGGCATTTTGGGGTTCTGCGTCATATTACCGGAGATTCGTAAAAGATTATGTACTGATAGGGAGACCTTTGACAAAATTGACTGAAAAGCAATCATGTTTCTCATGGACTGAAGATAATGATCAAGCTATGAGTGAAATTAAGGCAAGATTGATCAAAGCACCAATATAAGCATTTCCATGCGCTGACTGTGAATTCATACTTGATGTGGATGCTTCCGATTTTCATATTGGTGCAGTTCTAGGTCAAATTCATGATGATAAAACAGAGCATGTGGTGTGTAACAGTCATAGAACATTGTCTAAGACAGAAAGGAATTACTCTGTTACACGACGTGAGCTTTTAGCGGTTGTATTCTTTATCCAGTACTACAGACATTATTTGTATGGAAAGAGATTTACTCTAAGGTCTGATCATGAATCTCTGACATGGATCAGTGGTTTTAAATCACCACAAGGTCAAGTGGCCAGATGGTTAGAGATTCTGTCAACGTATGATTTTAAGATTGTACATCGCCCTGGGAAAGTGCATTTAAATTGCGATGGTTTGTCGAGGTGGCCTCACGCTGATGAAAATGAGGATGCTGCTACCGCCAAAGAGAGCAGCAGCACAGAATATATTGAGAATTCAGCTCCTGTTATATATAGCAGTGATCTGATTAGTGTAAATAAAGATAAACCAGAAAACGAGAGTGTGGTCTGCACAAGATGTGACTGATATGACTGAATATATAAGCACAAATGCCAAAGGGAAGGGTGACTAAAAACTTTAAAGAAACCCAACAAGAAAAGCAAACTGTAAGTGTTAATCTGTCATAAGAAAAGTAGACCCTATAATGGCCTATATATCCCAAAACCATAATCTAACGTGAAAAGAAACAATGTCTAACATCCCCCTCCCCCCTCCAATCAAGAACCAATATCACAATCCAGGACCAGAACACCAGGGGACATTTCATTCATACTGATGTCATTACTATACTGAGATAGAGAAAATGATTGATAAAAATGCTGAAATGCATTCAAAATCCGGAAGTCATTGTGAAAAAGTCAGAGTGTTAAAAAAGATGGTGCAAGAGCATAAGAGCAATGACGGAAAAGTTATAGAGCTCGAAGATGGATGGTCTATTATAGATCCCAAAAATGTGCAGATGAAAGATAAAGATATTGGAAAGTTCATTGAAATGAAGAAGAAATGTGATATTCGGCCGAAATGGGAGGATATAAGTCATGAAAGCAGAGAGTTCAAAGCTTATTGGGGCCAATGGAATAACATGAAAATAGCCAATGACATCTTATACAGGAAATTTGTATTGATAGATGGCAGAAAGGTAGTGTGGCAATTTCTTATCCCAGAATGTTGGATAACAAAAATCCTTAAAAACTTGCATGATGCTCCATCGGCTGGACATATGGGAGTTAAAAGAACTAAAGAAAGGATAAAGCTAAGATATAACTGGCCCTTTCTATCACAATATGTATTTATTAGGTACATTCAGAGATGTGAAAAATGTCAAAGATGTAAGAATCTACCTGAAAAGCCGAAAGGGGCCTTACAGTCTTACGTTGTTGTTGCGCCAATGGAGCGCGTAGCATTCGATGTATTAGGACCTTAAAAATAGTCAAGAAATGGTTCTTAATATGTATTAGTCATAGGGGACTATTTTACAAAATGGACCGAGTGCTATGCACTAATGGATCAGAAAACAATTACGATTGCTAAATGTTTTGTGGATGAATTTATAGCTAGATTTGGCTGTATGAGAGAAATGCATAGTGATCAGGGGAGAAACTTTGAGAGTGATGTTATGCATGACATATATTCCATGTTAGGAATAAAGAAAACAAGGACCTGTCCTTGGAATCCTCAGACTGACGGCATGATTGAGAGGCACAATAAAACATTTATAGAAATGTTGTCAAAATATATTGATGACAGTCAAGACAATTGGGATGAATGCCTCCCTTTTGTAGGTATGGCATACCGATCATCTGAGTACGACAGCACTGGTGAAACACCCGCAGCTATGATACTGGGCAAGAATTAGAATTGCCACTAGATGTCACTACCGATCCACCTGAGCTAGAAGAGCAGGTAGAATTAAAGTCTCAATATGCTGAAACCAAAAGACAGCAGCTGCGTGATTCGTATGAACACGCTAGGGAATGCTTGGATAAAGCTCATCTCAGACAAAAGAGAGAGCATGATGCAAGGCTAGCTGCGTCTGTTTATAAGGCCGGCGATGTAGTTTGGATGTATAACCCTACAAGAGTCAAAAAAACATGTCATTTAAACTGTCATGTCGCTGAACTGGACCTTTCCAGGTTATAGAAAAGGTGTCGGATGTTGTCTACAAAATACAACAATCACCTAGATCGAAACCTAGAGTGATTCGTCACGATAAACTGAAGCCCTATTTTGGCAGTTAATTTGTGAAATGGCCTTTAAAGCCATCAAATGATGAGCCTGATTAGGAAGAAGTGACAGATTTTGGCAGCCCGAAAATAAAGGAAGATAGACAGAATAACGAAAATGGTCGAAGTGAGTCTCAGATGGAGCCGAGTTCCTCTGATTCTGCCAAATATGAAAAGCCAGAAGCGGCACATGGTAGGGTCAGTATTGAAGATGAGTCTCAAAGGGAGCCGAGTTTCTCTTAGGAGGCAGAAGCAATGAATATCGATGATATCGAAAATAACTGTGACAAAAATGCGAGAAGTGAATCCAAAAAGTCTGAAGCAGAGGATCAAAATAACGTGATATCGAGACCTAAGCGGAACAGACGCCCGCCAGATAATTATAAGATAGCCTATTAATTCAGTCCTCCATAATGTAAATAGTTGTTAATACAAATGTATATAATCAGTTAAAGATAAAATAGTATTATTTCTGCCATATTATAAGGAAAATAAAATAAAAGATCTACAGCTCTATAATCCTTAAGAGTTAAATTCAAATGACGCTCTGCTTTGGAGAAGGGCTAAGAAAGGTTAGCTTAACCTGTTAAGAGTGACCTATCATGCAAAGGTCAGGCTGATCTGACTTGTGGGGAAATGCATTTTTCTGATTGAATAAGAAAGTGGGTGTGATTTGTTTACAAACAAATAATTAGGTGTCTCATATATAGGACAAGATTGAAGTCTGTTGAATGTTTTGTATGAGTGATACCATGGTGATTAATGTTTAAAATTGTATTGTGACATATGATTGTTGTCATGGAGATATGAAGTTGTTGTGAACCTATAAGAACTTTTTGATGTCATAAGGTGTATGATGCCCCAAATGTTTCAGTAATATGAGCAGGGTTATGAAAATGGGAGAAATGAGGAGTACCATAGAATTTTCGCATAATGGTAGTGTTTTTCCTGGTGAATTACCACTGGGTTGGAACAAAACGCTAGCCATTGATGCGGTGAAATAGGAAATTTCTAGAATGAAGATTCCCTAGGAAATATTGAGTAAAGAAATGTCCCATGACTACGGTCTGTAATGATCATGCGTGGTCGCCTGTTGTGTTAATCCATGGACCTGTAATATAACACTATTGCAGATTCTATGAGCTGCACTGATAATTGACAATTCTTTGTATTTAAATTATGAAATCCAGATACTAGTCCATGGAAAGTGCCCAGAGCATATCGTCGCATGAGTTCAACAGTCTCCTAACTAACATTTTCAAAAAAATTAAGGTAACATCACATTGTAGGTAAACAAAGTGCGTAGAACCTCATGGTGATGTCAGTTTTGACCTATCTGTGCTAGAAATGCATGCTTTTTTAGGTAACAACATCCTAACTACATAATTCATAAAGACAGGTAGGATCCAAGTTTCCTAAATACCAAGGCATCAGTTCTTGATTTTCCTAAGTGAATTATCCAATTGGATGCCAGTAAACTTAACATGTGACTCAATGTTTAAACCAATCATCTATCTTAAGAAAGTGTAATTCAGCAGAAAAGTGAAAATAGTCAATGCTTATCCAACCAACTAAATGCCAGTGGTAAGTAATAATTTTGATCATCATTGCAATTTATTTACCCCTTGAGTTGTATCCATTGCAAATATTTCATGAATTTTAAAGAAAATCCAAATTTTATGTAATCATAACTTAATATGTATAGCCTAGTTGTACCAAGAACTGTGTAGTTTAAAGTAGTTAGGAAAAATTGGCAGAAAGTACATTATTGCACATGGCCCTTGTCCCATAGAAATATACAGAATATTTACTTTTTTATCTTATTTTCAGAATATAGTAGATCTTCCAGATAATGTTCTGTTGAACATATTCCAGTTCTTCAATGTGATAGAACTTATTAGATCGTTTGCCTTTCTTCATCCCAGGTTTAGTGACATAATCAACAACAACTCTGTGCTGTGGAAAACAGTTGCATCTGATGATCAGCTCACTATTAACAAAGACAACTTACATACAATATTGAAACATGCAAGATGCATAGAAGTATTTGCAATCAGCTATCCAATATTACACATCCCACCTGCCCATATTGATTTTGCTCTAACTGTACAGTTATTAGAAGCTAAAAAGTTACAGTATCTGTCTTTGACAGGTTGGCCAGTATCAACTCTAGCATTCATTGAAAGTGTGAAAAACACCCTAGAAACCGTGGAACTAAACTTTTGTCCAAACTTAGTTGATGAAGATATCGAAATATTGTCTGAATGTACAGATCTGAGATTACTGCAAATCTGTAATTCTGTACAACAATTTCACTTTGAAACATTGGTGGACATTGTCAACAACCTTCACAAATTAGAAGCTCTTTATCTTGATGAAAGCATTGAACTTACATTCAGTCAAGTTGTACAACTCTTGGAAATGAGACCAGTCAGTAGACTAAGTGTCTCCTTAAATGTGACAGTGAGTGATTTAGAAACAAGAGCTCTAAAGACTCATTATGTTGACTGTGATTTGAGATTGATTAGAAAGAAGATAATAAGAGAAATAGTTTAATTTGCTTCAATTGACACAAGGTAATATCAGCATAGCTTACTGTTTATTCCATATGAATTATGGATATGAATACAAAATACTGAAGAATTCTAATAATCCATTTTGCACAAGTCAAAAGATGGATACAAACAACAACTGGATTGGTTATTTAAGGCTCTTATTGGATCCAGATCTAGACATCCCAACAGATGTTTATGAAGAAGAACAAGTTCAATCATATACAACAAGAGGTTAGTTTCATTGTTTTATCTTATCTTAACTGTAACAATTTTCCATTAATTAATTAGACAATCACTATGTAAAGCAATTTCATTTCATTTTGACTATTTTAGATCAGAATTCATCTAGTACATTTAAGAGTAAATTCCCTGGTACAATCAAGAATGACCCAATGGCACACCAAGTATTGATAGCAGGTTTGTATTATTCTACACATCCATTTTTACACACATTGTGTTTGTTTTCAGATACTAATCCACCTGAGACAACAGTCATGGATACAATAGAGAACCAACAATCTGAAGCTGAGACTAACCCACCTGAGACAACAGTCATGGATACAACAGAGAAACAACAGTCTGAAGCTGAGACTAATACACCTGAGACAAGAGACATAGATACAGCAGAAAACCAACAATCTGAAGCTGAGACTAATCCACCTGAGACAACAGACATACAGGGTGTCCAATAAATAAGGTGAAAGATATTGTAACTTTCTTAATATTGCATCAATCTTGATGAAATTTTCAGAGTTTGTAGCCCAAACCTTTTTACCTTTATTCTGTGAATTTAAAGCGTCTTCTATTTGATTGGCCAGAGTTGTGGTTGCTATAGCAACCGAAACAACAAAAAGGCGGGGCAAGTTTGTTTACGTCACAACTTTCCAAAACATATTTATTCTTTTTGATAACTTTATTCATACTTCCAGGTCTATTACTACCACAAATACAAAAAATACAATATAAAAACAGTCCTAAAGTTCCATTGTTATGAAAATAAGCATAACATAATGTATAGCACAACATAATGTCCATATCTAGCTATACACTTCTTATATGTCTTATGCCTTTTCATCCACTCTCCACACTTTCAAACCCATTCTCGCCAATTTCCTGAAGTCTTGCTAAGACATGTGATCTGAGTTCATCAGTGCTTCCAAATTTATTTCCTCTCAAGTTACGTTTGAGTTCTGCATATAAGTAAAAGTCATTGGGTGCAAGGTCTGGGGAATATGGAGGGTGTGCAAGTAGGGGTAGCCCCAGTGCCCTAATAGTTTCACTAGTGAGCATAGCTGTGTGTGAACTCAGATCAAATGTCTTAGCAAGACCTCAGGAAATGCGCAAGAATGGGTTTGAAAGTGTGTTTAGAGAGTGGGTGAATAGGCATAAGAAGTGTATAGCTAGAGATGGACATTATGTTGAATAGCTTATTTTCATAACAATGGGACTTTAGGGCTGTTTTTGTATTGTATTTGTTGTACCTGGGAGTATGAATAAAGCTATCAGAAAAAATAAATATGTTTTGAAAAGTTGTGACGTAAACAAACTTGCCCCGCCTTTTTGTTGTTTCGGTTGCTATAGCAACCACAACTCTGGCCAATCAAATAGAAGACGCTTTAAATTCACAGAATAAAGGTAAAAAGGTTTGGGCTACAAACTCTGAAAATTTCATCAAGGTTGGTGCAATATTAAGAAAGTTACAATATATTTCACCTTATTTATTGGACACCCTGTAGATACAACAGAGGACCAACAATCTGAAGCTGAGACTTATCCACCTGAGACAACAGACATAGATACAACAGAGAAACATAAGTCTAAAGCTGCACCAAGTAAGATGTGTAAATTTTGTTTTGTGTAAACATAATCAACTAAGTTACATGATTAAAATGCTTTCATAGGGATCATTGCTTATCTGATTAAGTTTTATCTCAAATGATTGAACTTGCTACTGACAAGCATATTGACTTCATTTTAATGTGATTCTTCATCTACACGTCAGTTTCTTATTTCTAGAAATTAGCAAGAAGAGAAAAGCAGATAAGATGCAGTGGAAGAAGAATATAAGAAAGAGACTACGCCAGTCAGGGGAAGAATATGTCGACTCCAGAGGCAGACGTAGAGAAGCTAAGGCTGTGCGGACAGTAAAGAACTGTGCTAACTGTAAATTTTGTTGTTCAAAATATATAAGTGCAAGTGACAGGCAAAGTCTACATAAAGACTTCTGGAAACTTTCTGATGATCAAAAAATTTCATACTATATCAAAACTGTAAAAAAAATGACAAAAAATAGGGAAACAACGAGAAAGTATAGTTACCGTTACACATTCACATTGGGTTCCAATACTATTAGAGTGTGTAGAACTTTTTATGAGAGCACTCTAGATATCGAAGGCCACCGTGTTCTCTATGCTTTGAAGCATAAAAAATCACCCCATGGCTCGTCAGTGCATCTTAAAAGAGGCCATGGTCCCAAATCAAAACATTTTGAGCCAGCCAAGCAAGTCATTCGTGACCACATTAATTCATTCCCTCGTGTGAATTCTCACTACTGTCGTGCAAATAGCCAAGTTGAGTATATTGACAGCAGTTTAAATGTAAATAAGATGTACAAATTATATGTGAAACATGTCGAGGAAACCGGTTTGCCTGGGCCATTGAAAGTAAGCATGTATCGGCATATTTACAACTATGAATTTAACATATCGGCCAATAAACCAAAAAAAGATAGATGTAACACATGTGAGTTGAATCGTACTACTGAGGACGAAGATCAACTTAAAGATGAAATTCTAACTAACTACAAAAATCATGTCAAAAGAAAAGATGATACAAAGAAAGAAAGGGACATAGACAGAAGCCCACCAAAAGATACTGCAGTTGTTGAATTTGACCTGGAAAATGTCATTTCATGTCCTAAGGCTGAAATAAATGAATTCTACTATAAACGGAAATTATCAATATATAATCTCACAAGTGTAGCAGTGGTATGCGCTGTGTGGAATGAACTACAGGCTGGTCGGGGAGGGAACGAAATAGCTAGTGCTATTGTTGCTACATTAAACCATTTAAAGTTGCCAGATGCAGTTCATAAACTTATTCTGTGGAGCGACTCTTGTGTGCCACAAAACCGCAACAAAATAATGGCCACTGCTTTGTTGCAATTTGTCAACTCAGATAATAATATAGAGCACATCATACAAAAGTATGGCGAGCCCGGGCATAGCATACTACAAAATGTAGATAACATACACAGCCAAATTGAAAAACATTTTAAAACAAAGGAATATTTTACTCCTAGACAAGTGGTATCATTGCTCAATGATGTAAATGATTTTGAGGTCATAGAAATAGATAAGAATGTGTATGATTTCGCTTCTCTGTCTAAAAAACTCCCATTAGAAGGTACAGTCCCCTTTTTTCAGGTAAAAAGCATACAGTATGACCGGAATGAGAGCAAAGTTAAATATAAAACTGGGGTTTACAAAGATGCACAGGAAGTAGACTTAAATTATGAGAAGGCAAAGAGACGTAAGAAGTCAATGCCGTACAGGAAGAAGTATTCAGAAATATTAAGTGCTGAAGTACCAAATCTGTCAAAGTCACCATCGGTGTCTCAACAAAAGATGAAAGACATTAGGTCAATGATGAAATACATGAAAAGAAGAGACAGAAAATATTATGAAAAAACATTTCGTGAAGTTCATGTTACAACCGAGAAATAAGTTGACTAACATCGCGAGACTAACATGTCACATTATTGTGAGTAAAGAGTAAGACAGTGAGTGATAATGCATGACTTGATTTTGCTCATGCGTATCTGTATCGATGCATGATTTTGTATATGCATATTTGTGTTAAAGTAAGAATTCGTACATGTATTTCTGTAATTGAAGTATAATTTCATACATGCATATCTGTATTAAAGTATAATTTTGAACATGCACTTCTTTATTAAGTATAATTTTGTACATGCATATCTGTATTGAAGCATAATTTCGTACATGCATATCTGTGTTCAATTATAATTTCGTATGTGCATAGCTGTGTTGAAGCAATATTTCGTACATCCATTTCTGTATTTGTAGTATATTTCATACATGCATATTTGTATTGAAGTGTAATTTTGTACATTCATCTGTGTGTATATCTGTGTGGAAGTAAAATTTCGCACTTTCATATCTGTCATCAAAGTATAATTTTGTACATGCATATCTGAATTGAAATTAAAATTTCATACATGCATATAATTTTGTACACGCATAATTGTATTGAAGCATAATTTTGTACACGCATGTATGAGTTAAAGCAACTTGGTAAAATTGTTGAGTAATACCTGTGTAAATGATGATCAGAATTTGTACTTTTATTTTGGATAATAAAGTAATTATATTTTTAGATACTATTTAATACTGTTTATACTGCAATGGAGAGTCAGATTTAGTTTTATGAAAAATCAACAAAAATGAAATAATGAATGATGTCAGTTCAATGATTTCCTTTCTGCCAGTTTGGACAAAAAGAATCAAGTATTGTGTAGTTTGGAATGAAAAATTAACAAATTCCTGAATTTTTAGCTGCCGTTTTTTCCTTTGTTGAAATTCAATCTTTATTTTTTACAGACTTAGTCCAAAACCTACAAAAATAATGTGATATATATAAAATTTTGTAAGTTCTTTGTCTCCAAATCAAATCTTAGAAAGATCTGTTGAAGAATATTAAAGATATAGGTCATATACCTTTTTGGTTAAATTTCTCAAAACAGGAAAACATGTATTTAGGAGACTGTTGAATTCATGCGACGATATCTCTTTGGGAATGACATCGTTTATTGGTCAAGTGTTAACATGCCTATTTTTGAAAACTTTATATGCAAAATGTTGCAAAACATGACGTTGATTGTGCCTCTACAAGTTTACAAAAATTGATGAATTAGTCTTTGAGACCGTTTCACTTGAGTCATTACTATGATTTGAAATACGTGATATTTTTGTTTGAGCTTTTATGCAGATTTTAATTCACCGCCTCTTTAAGTGAGACAATGTATTTCTTACATGTTCCATGATTCTTGATGTCTATATAGAGGAATGACTATCTTGAGGTATTGATAAACATTTACTATGCTAAAAACAAAAAGGGTATTCTGAGATTTCAAGTTATTTGAATGATTTTGGATTTGTTTTTGATTGTTTTCTGCGAAGTGTACATCGCATTAAATAATTGTGTTATCTTTGTTTGAACATAGGGTTATGGGAGCATGTGAGAAAATGAGTAAATGTTCCGCGGTTTCACCTGTACCACCTTAAAGCATGCCTGATATCGCTCTTCCAAGGCAGCCTCTCAGGATTGCGTCAGCTTGTATGAAGTGCGGAAGTGAAAAGGACATTCAAAAGATCGTGGATGCAGGATTCCAGATCACTGAGTTGTTGCTCAAAAATGAGGACGATTGTGTGCTAAGGAAACCAGTTCACGAATAATTATTATTAGGATCAAACTATTACCTGGATTACACTATTACACTAAATGAACGTTATACGACGACAAGCTAGTCTACAACCAGTGACTTTCGTACTTTATCATTTTCTTTATGAACTTAAGAGTTATACTGCAGGGGCAAGGTGTGTTTTTTGTTTGTTATGCTTTTTTGTCTTTCACAAAAAAATCATTGTCATTATGTTCCCATGTTAATTTACATTGTAAACGCTATTGATATGCTGAATCTAGATATACATCATGGTCCTTACATCATGATATAGTTGAGGTAGTTAGGCTATTTGATTTTCATAGTCTTGTAATTTTTTTCAATCAGGAATTTTTATTGCTGTATTTCCAGGTCCCAATTGGAACTGGAGCAGCGTCGATATCGGTGCTGGATACAATGCTGGTCAGTGGTTGCCTGATTACAGACCAGCCAGGAGAGGGGTACTACTTGACACTACGGGTCATCAACCA